GGAGGTTTTGCCACGAAGCCGACGATATCCTACATTATTTTCGGCAGTCGAATAATCAATGATTAGCCAGATAAGGTTTGCTAGAAGAGCAAATATAATTGTGTTCGTGTTATAAAATTATTATCACTAGTATAGGAATATTAATGTCTAAAAATAGAAATGGAAAACACCGATGTCGCGGTCGGTACTCGGTACCCAGCATTCTGTTATCTGCAGCAGTCAATTCAATGTTCWAACTAAACCTATTCCAATATCCTCTATAGTGTTACATTATATAYATTACATGACGTTTTCATTCGATTTCAATTTTCGACACGATGACGAAGTTATTGATTAAACGTTATTAATATTATTATTATTATAATTATTTATTCGTGATCGTGGACTCTTGCAGTTATGGCTGTTCGAAATTCGCTTCTATTTCATTTTGATTTAAATTGTTTGTGCGACTATTTTTATTGAAACATGGCATCTAAACGCAAACGTTTTAAGCTTGAATGTCTCGATTGTGGTAGTGTTTTTAATAATGACTATAAATTGAAACACGAACGTGATGTGCATTAGGGGAAAAAAGTGAAAATACAACACTTTGGTGCYCCTAGCAACCCGTTTGCAGCATCAAAACCAAAAAAAAATAAGCAATTGGTAAGTTTTTTTGTTTGATTTTTTTATTCTTATATCTAAGTTTAAAGATATAAAATTATCAACTAGGTACCTAAAAATTATTGGTTGATTTCTTTAGTTTAAATTAAAATTTTGTTTAAATTTAAATTTCCCTCATAAACTAGTTTATATGCATTATGCATTGTTGTTATTTTGTGTATATTTAAATGATTCATTTTTTTAATAGGCTGAAGAAATTTGTGAACCCGGTCCAGAGCCCAAAATGTGTGATGCTTATCCACAGACCAGTTGTGGAATGGTAATTATTATTGTACTTTCTATAAAAAAAAAAATGTTTTATGATATACTTATATAATGATAATAATTTTCTTGACTCTTTGATTCTAATTGTTGTTCTAATTTATGTTGCAGTCCTCATGTGAAATAGAAAAATTGAATAAAGTATCAGAATCATCTCTAATTTTTACTGGTAAATTTGTTTGCAGACTGCAGTGTGTACCTTTAATTAAAGAATCACATGAGTAACAAAATAAAAATTATACAATCATTTTTTTTTTTTTAGTTGATGGTTATAATGAAAATTCTTGGATTACCTGTGTTGGTAATTTAGAAGCTATCAAACAAGATTTTTTATAGTTAATTGATGAGTTGACAAGCATTAAGAATACTAAATTTCCAAGTCCAATAGGTTTTTTGATAAAAAGTTCACATAGTGTAACTAGTATCAAAAGTAAATTGGATAGCTATGTAACACTAGCTAAAATTGTGTTAGATGATATGACAAATTCTTGCCATGATTCTGAATCTAAAACTGCAAGTAACGATTCAATTGATTCATTTGTAGATCATGATCCAGGTAAGCGTGTTGTAATTCAAAGTACATGTCAACGACAGTTTTTAATTTTTTTGGACCATACCAACCAAAATTATCTTCATACCCAAAAGATGCTAGTATATCTGCTTACAAGCAACAGCAGTTCACTTCCAAGTGGTTTATTGAATATCCAATGCTTGAATATAGTATTTTTAATGATTCCGTGTACTGTTTTATATGTACTTTATTTCCTCATCGATGTGGTCATAGTAATACAGCATGGGTAGTTGGTGGTGTAAAGCAGTGGCAAAAAATGAAAAGCCGTGGGAAGGATAAACAAGGAAAATTAGCCCAACATTTTTCATCAGCTTCACATAAAGAAGCCATGTTAGATTATTGTGCATTTACCACAAAATCTAAAAACATTGATGTTTTTTTCAATAAGCAGTTACGGCAATCTGCCATRCGTGAGAAACAAGAACAAGCATTTAATAAAGATGCAGTCAGTATTTTGATAGATTTAGCACGTACCTTGGCGAGACAAGGACTTGCGTTCCGTAGTCATAATGAAGGTGCAAATGAGTTACAAAATGGAAATTTTTATCAAATGGTTCTTTTACTTTCCCGTCACAATGCAATATTAAAAAGATGGCTTAATGACGAATCGATGCGTTCTCATCAAGTTACATATCTTAGTATGAAATCTCAAAATGAATTTATCGAACTCTTAGCTGCAGAAACACTTAAGAATATAGTTGAAGAAGTGTCAACATCTGATATATTCTCAGTTTTAGCTGATACCACACCGGATGTTGCACTTAAGGACCAATTATCTGTTTGCTTGAGATATGTTGACCAAGGAGGATCACCAAATGAACGATTGCTTGATGTTATTGAAGTTACAGATAAGACTGGATATGGATTGGCAAAAAGTATATATGACATTTTAATAAAACATGGACTAAATACTGGAAACGTATCATTTCAGTCATATGATTATGCCAGCAGTATGATAGGTGTTAATAAAGGAGTTCAACGTTATTTTTCTGAGTTTGTTGGACATACAGTTCCATACATTCCATGTCAAGCACACAGAATAAATTATTTTCTAGAACACGGCTGTAAGGCTAGTCATATAATTGAAAATTTCATTGACATTCTTGAAAGCATTTATGTATTTTTCTCGACAAGTACAAAAAGATCAAGTAATTTAATGGAACGTATGAAAAAAATTGAGGGAAGTCTGAAGCTCAGAAATGTATCCAAAACTCGTTGGACAGCTCGAGCCGAAAGCATCAAAGCAGTATGGACATCTTTAGAGGCAATTGTTGACACATTGGAATATATTAACGATTCAAATAATTATGATAGTTTAACTAAAACAAAAGCTATTGGATCAAAAAAAAAAGTTCTAAACTTTAATTTTTTTGTTTCATTTATATTAAATTTATGAAGAACATAATATATAAAGTTAAGCATTTAACAGAATATTTATAGGCCAAAGAATTCAATGTGTGTGATGCAGCAGTTTTAATAAAAAGTATGATTTCGTCATTGCAAACGATTAGATCAGAAACAGAAAATATGGACAATTTGATAAACAGTGCTAAAATTACAGCTTAATCATTTGGAGTTGATTCAAATACAAACTTTAATCGTTATCACCGAACCATAAAGCGACCTAAGTGACTTGATGAAAATGCTGACAATAGTGTTCCTTATGAATTGTTCAATTTTTACAGACAGCAGTTTAATTTAGTTTTAGATACGTTGATTAGTTTATCAAGTTCAAATTTAAATGGTTCTGTTGAAACAATTCAACCCTTGTATAAAATATTAAGTGTACCATTGAAAGTGAAAACATCACATGATTTCAGTGAAGCCTTTTCTCTTTTCTCTCGTATGAGTTATGGAGCTAAGCTCTTAGATTATGAAACAGTTGCAGCAGAATGGGAAATACTGGGTCACCAATGTGTAAATGAAAATTTAAAATGTATAGATGTCCTTCAAAAATCGGAAGAAGTAAAATACATATTACCTTGGGCTAATTGGTTTTGTCGCCTTACATTTACTTCTCCAGTCACAACAGCTTCTAGTGAATGGACTTTTAGTAAGCTTAAACTTATTAAACATAATTTACATTCTMCGTTGACTTCAAACCGTATTAGCTCGTTGATGATATTGAGTTGTGAAAAAGATATTGTAGATAAATTAGATATAGATTATATTGTCACAAAATGGTCTTTGGCCAAAAAACGAAGAATAAATATTTTTATTTTAATTCATCTCTACTATTTCCAGGAGTAATATGATAACCATGTTCTTTTAATTGAATAATTTTTCCATTTACAGCAAAGGTCAAATGATAATTTTCATAAATTTGTATACACTTTTGAATTGTAGGCACTGGTTTTGAATTCAAATTGAATGTTACAAAACACAGCTTTTGGTCTGATTGAGACATGGGTAATTTTGTCCAAGGACCAATCAATTTAAAATCAACAGATAATTTTTGAAACAAGTTACCTAAAATCAATTCAATAAATGTATTAGATATATGTTACATTAAAGTGTATTATTTTTACTGCAATTAAAAATATAATTACTTTTAATGCATTATTAGTAAATGTATTAACTTGTATTTATAATTAAGAATAATAAGTTGTTATACCGTATGAAATATATAATTATGGAAATTTAAATAATTTAAGATAAGATAGTAAATAAACTAAAATTTATATACCTATACTTTAACGTATTTAAATATTATAAATTCCTAAAAAAAAATGTCTTAAACTAGATTAGATATATTAATAAATATTAATGAGATTAAACATGCTCTTATAAGWCTTTTAATACTAATTTTAATACCTATATAATTAATTGTTAAGTAGATTTTAACTCAATAATTAATATTTTTAACATTTCAATTAAATATATGTTTTTAAATAAAAATAGATATATTATAATAACATAAAATATTTCAGACTAGCCTTAGATATAATATAATAGTATGGTTTTTAGATAAACATTGATTTGTAATACCTTCAATATCCTCAATAAGGTTTTCCACTATATTCAATACTTCTGCATTATTGAATGAATCCACTTTTTGATTTAAAATAGTATTAGAATTAGAAGTATTACTCGTGCTAACACGTACACATGGTGGTTTTCGTGGTTTTTTAATATTTGATAAATAAATTGGACCTGGAAATAATGAGGGGACTACTCCTTCTTTTAGTCGCCACTGGTTGTACGGAATCTAAAATAAGTCAATATACATTTTTTTTTTTTAAATTAAAATTAATTTCGTTAGGCACACAGGAAAATTAATCAATAGTTATAGTCTGTGGCACTGTTTAAGATATAATGTGTATGTGTATCTTAAATCATAGTCTGTAGGCATTATATTTCATGTACGTACCTTAATTGTACCAGATTCCTAAAACTTCACAACATCATCCTCTTTAAAATGCTTTTCGCAGACATATGATTTTTCAGTGAGAGTAAAATTTTTTCTCGGAATCTTCATCTGCCATTTWTTCTAAGATCAAGATSTTTGGGAGCACAAAATGTATTAAATTTTTCTTTATTGCTAGTGTACCCCGAAGTACAGCCCACAACTACACACTTTACCATTATAAATTCATAAAACTTAAAACTGTAAAAGTAATAGATAATTAGAWAAATATAAATATGAATAGTAAATATAAAAACATAACAATGCGTACGCCGGCACGCGCGCCGCTTGCAAAATTGCGGGCCAACTACTACTAGCGCTATTAGTTCACCTATGTTGCCACTTCGCCGCGGCTATTACATTGGAAGTATAGGAGCGAGCTCCAACCTGAGTAGATAACCGTGATAGCGGGTGTACGACCTGATAACCTGGCTGGTTTGATGATAACACGACGGTGGTGCTATGATTGGTCTGGAGCGACGATGAACCGGCAGACGGTGATTACGACATTTGCACTATCGCCAAAAATGACGAAAGGGTCGACGACACCACGTACGTACGTGCGGTGGTCGACCGTGGTATGGAGGTGATCCAAACTGGACGACGCAATCGTTGATAGAGGTGATCGAAATGTGATACTTACAAGATACAAGTGCGAGATTGATACGCGAAAACTTAGTTACCAACGGCACGTGGGGATGTCCGTTGTCGCGGCTCAAGCGACAACACAATAAACGCGACGGTTCGCACTGCGTAAAACGGACGGGCGGAACACGAGGGTGCGAGAGCGAGCGGGGGCTCAGAAACGCACGGTAAGATCGGYCGGACAATACACAACAGAATTAATACCGWCGCATCAGAACRCGGACGGTCGTATTAAAAAATAAACAAATAACCAAGCGTATACCAAAAATGGCGCAGTGACGGCGACAGAGCACCGGATGGTGGACCTGTTCCGTAGATGGTAGACGGACGACAAAAAAACCGGCGGCGGGGMAGCGGTAACTGGTAGCTTGGTCGCGCGATATTGGGGGTCCAAAGGTTGGACGGCGCGTCACACGCTCCGGCGTGACAACATTAAAATTAAAACTTGTATCCAACATATATTATCAAGATTTTCCGTAGTTGAAAAAAATAATATGCGTGGAATTTCTTGATTTTGCGAGTAACTATCATACAATAAAAATGGTTTACCATCTAATGTTGTTGTAAATTCTGGTGTAATGATCAACTCCTTCAATGGAGCTGGAATTGCTGGTGCAATTAATTCTTTTTGGCGAATTCGTTGAACAGTTTTTTTCATTGAACCAACTGCTGGTAATTGACCAGCAACCGCTTCAGTAATCTACAATAGTAATAATAGTTTTCAAAAAAAAATATTTAAATTTTTTTTTATTTCTTAAACCTAACCCTAACTAATTCCCTAACCTAACCTTCACCGCTGCGTTTGCACATCTTGGCGAAGTCAAATCTGTTCACTAGAATATTATAGTATAATACATTAATATATTTACTAGTAGTAGAATGATTATTGTGACTTGAAAAAAAAATTGTAATTTCTATCTTAACGTTTACGGTTAACTTGCCCACCTTRGGGAGTAGTAATATTCACACAGATCCTCCCCTGCTGTCGGTTCAAACGGAAAAAAAAAAACTTGCCCACCTTTGGATTCGCGTTCGTTATCCTCAGACGTATTCTCATTGTCCGTGATTCCGTCTTCCATACGTTTCAGAGACGCGGCCGTGTCATAGGTTTTTGTAAAATAATAATTAGTAATGGTTTCATATCGATAACACTAATATTTGATTATAAGGACGGAGAAATAATAACTTTCCTGATTTTGTTTCTATTTCTATTTCTATCTACAGATGTCGCGTTTCGGTTCAACGACGTGTCCAAAAGCCGTCGGACCAGAGAACCTTCACCGCTGCGTTTGCACATCTTGGCGAAGTCAAATCTGTTGACTAGAATATTATAGTATAATACACTAATATATTTACTAGTAGTAGAATGATTATTGTGACTTGAAACAAAAATTGTAATTTCTATCTTAACCCGTCAGAAGTCGCGTATGAGCGCGGCGCTCATTCCGTTATTAGTTTAGCTACCACTGGTTTCAATTTAATTTTTAAATTGTTGAAAACTWCGTATACCTTATGCTATYTTATCTAGGCCCTTTTCTAAAAATAAAATAACCYGGTCCWTAGTCTTGTGTTGAAATGACAATAGATTAAACTTGTCAGTTCTGATAAAGTGAGCGGCGTGCTCATACGCAACTGTTGGTGTATGTATTTTTCTCGTATAGTTTTTTTTATAATTTCGCGTTATTATGTCTGATAATATACAAAATATGTGTAATTGGTAAGATGAAACTGAAGAAGATAATTTATTAAATGATTCTGATGACACTGACGCTGATCCGGATTTTGTATGTACAAATACGCACAATGAAATTGATTCTGAGTCGGATACAGTTGTGGATGTACACATAAATCCGTCTTCATCTAGAATAAATAATGCCTCAGTTGCATCAAGATCGCGATCTAGAAGTCCACTCATACGAGACAATTTCAATTACTATTTAGGTAAGGATAAAGTGACAAAATGGTATAAAGAAAGTTGCACTCCAAGTAATAGTCGTACACTTCGACGTAATATAGTGTTACATTTACCCGGCGTAAAAAGAGTGGCACGAGACGCAAAATCTATTATTGATTGTYGGAAGTTATTTTTTCCGGATATGGTCATTGATGAAATAGTAAAATGTACTAATATTTATTTGACTAAGATTCGTACAAATTTTCAACGGGAAAGAGATTGCCTAGATACGACTAGAGAGGAAATAAAAGCGTTGTTTGGGCTTCTGTACTTGGCAGGTGTTTTACGTAGCAACCATTTGAATTTGAAAGATCTTTGGTCAGACGATCCTTTATCCCCCGAATATTTTYGTGCTGTCATGCCCCTAAAACGATTTTATCTGTTGCTTYGTGCACTCAGGTTCGATGATATAAATACAAGAACTGAAAGAAAAATGTATGACAAACTAGCCGCCATCCGAATGATATTCGATGGATTTGTAACGCTGTCAGGCTGTRTATACTGTTGGGGAAAACTGCACTATCGATGAAATGCTCGAAGGATTTAGAGGAAGGTGTAGTT